GTCGCGCACCTGAAAATAGTGGATGAGTCTCCCAACGAAGGCTGCTGCGTACACAAGGATTCGAACTCGAGACCTTACTTAAGCTGGAACAAGCCGCTTACCACTTGATCCAACCCCTCGTTGGTGATTTCGGTTTTCCTTTTCTCTTTCTAGATTCTATTTGTAGGGTTCCTTATCAGAGACGCAAGGAGGGAGAAAAGGGGAGACGATTAATAATTAGTGAGGATTTGGCATCCAAAAAAGAAAAAAAAAGAGGCAACTTAGAAGATATTGTAAACGACACCGTATTTATAACGGGTTTGCAAAATCGAAAATTATTTATTTATTTATTTATTTTTTAACAGGGTAATGGTTAGAAAGTTAGTATGAATTAGTTGTTAGTAACTGATCCTCAGACCGAGTGAACATTCCACCCCTCAAATGAGGCACACGGCCATCAGATTACTTTTTGATAGAGGTCACAACGGTAGTGGAACTCGAAACTCCGACCACCTTACTTAAGCATTTAAAACTTAGGGTTGAACCATTGGACTTAAAGATCCGATTCTGCAAAATCGAAAATTGATTAACGTCTAGATGCAGTGGTGAAAAAAAAAAAAAGTTGGTTAAAGTTAGGTGTAACAGTTGGCGGTTTGGTGTAAATGATTATAAATTTTTTAAAAAATATTTGTTATTTTTTAAAAATTAATGATTTAAAAGTAATATTTACATTTATCCATAATTTTTTTTTAAGAAATAATAGATAGAGATAGCGGTGTTCGTGTGGAGTTTGATTTAAGTTTTAATATTTTTTAAATCAATCTAATTTAATCAATTAGTAAAATTTTTAAGTCAATCTATTATTATGTAATAATCAAACTAATCCAACTTAAATCGAATCAATATAATTTAGTTTAATTAATTACTTTTTAAAACTATTAGATATATAACATAATGTAAAAAAATTTAACATAAAGTACAAAATATAATTATAAAACACATTAATATTTAAATCAATAAAAACATAATTTAGAAAAGAGACACAAATTATAAATGTTCTTATATTGACAATCCAAAAAAAATGTCCTTATATTCTTTTACAATTGTAAAGATTAAGAAGGTTTGAAAATTCTTCTTAACTATATCACCAAAGGGACTAAGAATAATAAAAGTAACTCTAAATTTTAAAACACAATGCAAGTGATTCTTAAAAATTAAAATTAGTTTTTTTTTTCTTAATGCACTAATGACTCAATCTCATCTTCTAAACCTGTTAAAAGTAAATTAAATTTAAAATGAACATCACTAAAATTGATTAAATACATTCATAATCAAAATTTAAAACTCCTCAACTAAACATTTAAGAATAGTGGAATATTAAAATTAATTTTATTATGAAGTTTTACTTCTTGAATGATACTTCTTTAAGGTTCAATTAGAATAATCAAAATATCATTTTATAAACAAATTCAAAATTTAAGGTTATGAGAGTAGAGTTATAGAGCAATTTTAAGGGTAGAATTACATGTGAATTATAAATTTAGAATTACAGTTAGATTAGATGATTTAGAAGAAAAAATAAGTTAGGGAATATGAGGATGTTCTATTTTTATGTTTTAATTAAGTTAATGAAATTATTAACTTATGAAATAAAAAATAAATAAAATATTACAAAAAAAATATTATATTATTTAATTAAGTTATCTTTTAATCAAGTTTTATTTTGTAATCAAGCAGTTTCAGTAGTTTAAAGCTAAAATCACAAACTAAACTAATTAAATTGGTTTTAAAATTTTATAATTCAAACCAACCCAATTTTATATTAGTTTGGTTTGGTTTTTAATCAAATTGGATTAGTTTGGATAACATCAATCAAATTTGATCAAATATGAACACCCTTGGATAAAGACATATTTTTTTGTGATTGGATAATTAATTAAAGTAAACAGATAATAATAGGATTAAAGTAGAAAAAAATATTTATTTATCTTAAAAATAAAAAATTAATTTAAGATAAATTCAAAATTAATAAATGGCAGTCCTTTTGAACAAAAGGGAGTAAGTGTTTGATAAATTTCTTAATTTTCTAACAACTATAAATTAAGCATTTAATAAAATTTCTCTTATAGTAATTTGAGGTTAACTATTAGTAATTTGATACTAATTTATTAAAGAATTGAAAAAACTGTCTTAAATAATATTTAATACCAAATGTAATAGATTAAAAAAACTTATTTTATTGACAAAATATTACCATTAATTTAAAAAGACATCTACTTCATTTTATTCACTTTACACTGTTATTTATCCCAAATTAAAATTTGAAATTTATTTTTATTCAAGTGCAAACATCTCCTCTAGTGGAAGAAACTTTACTATGATCCTTAACTGATATTTTGATAAAAATTAGTAAAAGATAGTAAAAGAAAAGGAAAGGAAGGGAAGAGAAGGAAATGACAGTAAAGGATTAGTATTAATTTTGTTTAGATAGATTTAAAAATAGGAAGGAGAAGGAGAGGAAGATTATATTTTTTTCATTTAATTAAATAAATTTAAAAAATAATTATAAATTAATCAATTTTATAAATTTATATATTAAAATAAAGCTAAAATAAAAAATTTAATTACATTTTTGAAAAATAAAGTAAAAAAATAAAATAAAAATAAATTAAATCCCTCTGAATCCTCCCAAATTAAAGGAATTAAAAATAAGGGATTTGGAAGGAGTCCATCACTCCATCTACCTCCCCCTCCTTCTTCCTCCCTTTAATAATTTTATCCAAACAAAAGAGAGGAAGAACCTCTCCTTCACTCTCCTCCCCTTCCCCCTCAACTCTCTCAATCTACATGATGTAGTGCTCGAAGTTAATGGTTTGACGATGTCCCATTCGGAATTATTGAGATAGATGCTCTACATGTTGATTATACATCCAGTTCTTTCGCATGGGGAAGGAAATTAAAATAAGCATATTTTTGTTGATGCGGTTCATAATCTTTCAATGTGAAAACTAGCAGCGATAAGAGCACTACAACGATATCACATTATTAAGGGACAACAACCAAACCTTTTGAAACATTAAGGCTTTGTTAACTACATTATACTTTATTTTATAAATAAATAGATTTAATTAACAAATGATTTTTGTTTTATGTTTTATTTAAAAATAAAAGATCCTATTAGATATAGCTTTAGGATCCTACATCTTTTGATAATGAATTTTTGTTGTTTAAGACCTATTTAATAATTTATTATTATGATTGTGTTTTTATTGTCGAGATTTAAATAACAAAAAATTAATAATTTAGCATCAAGATTTGTTATGGTTTTCTCTCTGAGTGAGAGGTATTTGGTAGCACCACCACTATTGTTTCGCCCCAAAACCCAAATTCGAGACGCGACAGATACCGTGCACTCGTGAGATGGGTCCCACAAATGCACAAGGCTCGAAACTTATCACACCACAATTTGATACCATCAAAATCTGAAGATTAAATCTTTAAAATTTACTCTGATATCATAAAATCTCCAAGTACACTCTAACTTACAAGATCATGATTTACTTTTAAAATCTATATCAATTACAATATGGCTAGCCTTCTAACTCGTCACTTCCCGTGGTTTCCCCGTCCTCGGTTTCACATCCTGAAATGGTGGACAATGAAAAACTATGAGATAAACTCAGTAAGTAAATATGGAGTGCCCCTTATCAAACTTAAAGCATGCCAACAAGTACAATCACGAAAACAGATACAGTACGGGCACGAAAT